TAGAAAGGCCCCTCATTAAATGCCTGTTACTCATCTGTATAATTTAGATGCCACCCCACCCCCTCCCTGCCTTCCACCCGCTCCACTGCCTTCTCAAGTAGGACGTAACTGTTTAACTGAACTGACCTATTTTCAAGTCTAAGAGATTCATGAGAGATGGAACGATCTGCCAGTTCAGCTTCTGAACTGAGATACCGGTATTATCTTGGTAAATAAACCATAATACATAGTAATCTAGTTCATGTGTTTTAGCTCTTTGTAACGGAATGTTGAAACTTGTGTAAAAGTAGGCCCAATGATAAAAGGAACCTCCCTGTGTAATCTCCCAGCTTCAACAAGGATCAACTCATGGCCAATCTCCTCTGTCACATGTATAAATGAATTCAGTGTTTAAAATACTTTTATCTGCATTACCTCCTTTGATTCTCCTCTAACAACTGTGAAAGGTAGGTTGTGTATTTTTAAGGTAAAATCCTATTTCTAACAAAGTACCATTTTAATGTAAGTGCCAATTTTTAAGACAGTGAGGAAAAAGATAAAAAGGATGCTCATATGCGTTCATGCATGTTTGGGTTTTCGTGTATCCTAATTCATTAATAAAGGGACGCACTGGCTCGCTTTATCTTCAGCTGTTATTCAAGCTGAATGGAATTACTTTTCAATAAAAAAATTGTTAGTATAAATGGCCAATTTCTACTTTTCTAGAAAACCACTTTTACTGAGTAACCTTGATCCCAACCCATCCTATAAAAATGGGATTTTACTGAACAAACTGCTTCTAATGTCACATTTTTAATAGGGGTAAATGTCTAAAATTTTTAGGAAGCATTATAATTTAGAACAATTCTAGGCCAAAAGTGTTATTTATAGAGGATCCAGATGCATGAAAATAAAATAAAATAAATGAGCCATTTAACTCATGGTTTGGATGTCATTTTTCTGACAGTTATCAATGAAACTGTCATGTATCCCTGGAATTTGGGGCTATTAGAATGATTTATTTCGAAATCACTTTCAAAAAGTTGTGTCTGCTCTTTTAACAGGAAGTATTTATGTTCAGATGCATGTGAGTATTGATTATCATTATCTTCACATTACATTATTACTTGTATATGAATGAGTTCTGGTTCACCTTATAATATGATTTGAATACCTTTAATATTATCATATAGATATTTCCCAATACTTAATTGTAAATAGACTTTTTTCTTGCTTTCTTTCGTACTTGACTAACAATATCCAGGATGTCCCCAGTGCTCATTTGAAAGGTGATCTAGTTACCCTAGCAGAACCCCAGGCTTGAATGTCACATGGGGTCAGTTCTGTACAATGCGCTAACCATGCTAGTCTGTTTGTTTCAGAATGTTGCAGTTGCATAGTTCTCATCAAAGCAAAATGTAAATGTTTAGTGATAATAAGATATGTTTTCCTTAACTGGCCAAATGGGATTTTTTTTTACCTTTGTTTGTTTGAGAATAATAACTGAATGCTGACATGCAGTGGCTGATGTCAATACTCCAAGGCTTCATTAGTACAGATGAAGCAATGCTCACTTCGTTACACAAATAATTAGAGAGATTAAGTGGAAATAAACATTGAGGTACAGAAGCTCTGAAGTTAGGTAATCATCTTAATTACCCTAGTGACTTCCACCAACTTTCATTATCAGCCACAGATCAAGTTTAAATTGTTTTATATAAGAATAGCATAAAGTATATGGCAAAGTACTATTGCTATTGGATGACCAGGCTTCATAAAAATGACATTTTCTTCAAGCTTCCATTTAAATGGTGTTTCCATTCCAGCATCTGATAAACTCTCTAAGTATTTTAGAAGCATGATACATTCTTGTACTTAAAAGTGTTTTGCCCTGCAGTATAGCATAGAGAAGACAAGTAGTGACTCTATGTCTATCTACTACGCTGATAGACAGTGACTGCAATGGGCCGGGGGGGGACTTAAAAATATGGGTGAAAGTTGAAACCACAATGTTGCTCCTGTGAAACCTTCATAAGATTGTATATCAATACCTTAATAAAAAGAAGTGTTTTACCCTGGTGTTACACTTCAAATGGACATTCTTAATTTTTGTATCCCTCTATCTTTACTTGGATTTGATCATATAAGATGTGGGTCCAGATTTTTGTATCACTGAATGTAAAACAAAATGTAAATCATATTTAGCCATTTGAAATAAATGTCACTTGTAATGATGTCATGTTTATTGTGCAACAAGCTGCCCCCTGTATTTGGGGTTAATTGATTTCCTCTTTCTTCCCCTTCCTACCCCAAGTTGGGAAGACACTGTCCACACTAAACCCTTCCCAACAGGTGGGGCCCCTATTCAAGGCCATTTGTCAGTCCTTTTTAGGATGGACTTCATTGTACGTTCCTATGTGATGAACTTGCAAGCTCCCCTGGGTTAAGATCTTTTGAGGACTGTATTTAATTACCTGAATTTAAATACCATTTTATTGACTGCCTGCATAATGTCAGCTCCTCTCCAAAACAGTTTACCTAACTTACCCTATTTAGTCCCTACAAGATTCTCATTAAGTATGCATTTTTAACTCTATTTTCCAGATGAGCAAACAGGCTTTGGGAGGTCCACTGACCTTTCTAAAGTTATCCAAGTAGCCCAGGTCTGCCTGACTTGGAAATCAAACCCAGGTTTGCCTGACTCCAAGAACCACGGTGCCCCCAGCGGATGCGCAAATGACGTGATCCTGGATGCAGACGCTGTCAAAGGGAACAAAGGATGAAACGGCCTCGTTGGTGCGGATGCGCTAGTTAAGTGGTCTCTTGTTTAACACCCGGGAATTCCAGGCACCTCAAATTACAAAAATTGATTTTGAACGAGTCTCATCTCTGAACAGTCCGGGTTGCTGGAGAAGCAGCAATTGGAAAATAGGTTTGATGTTATTTATACTGGGGAAAACCGAGAATTCCCTACTAATGAAGGTTAGTGAACGCTCTTGAATACAGTTCAGTAACCACTCGAGCTTTCCTCCAGCTAACACCGAAAGCATTTCGCTTCAACTACTTTAAAAATTCCAATAGGATGAAAGCGACTTCCGTGATCTCCGCGGGGATGGGCCGCTGGCCGGCGCTTCGACAAGCGGTGGTGAACGGCCTCCTGCGCATCCCGCTCCGAGGTGCCGCCGCCGACCTCCGCGGTGCCCTCCCAGGGCGTCTGCGCGCGGGGTGCTAATGCGGGGGCCCAGGGGGCTCCCGGGCTACGAGGGCCGGGAAGGGGTCCAACAGAGCGTTTAGGACGCGCTCCTCCGCCGGGAGTCAGGAGCAAGCTGCGGCGACACAGGGGGGCCGGGACGGGTCCGCGCTCCCGGGGCGGGGGCGCTGTGCGCGGGGAGCCGGGGGACTCGCGCTGCGCTGCGGGAGGGAGTCGCGAGGGCGGCGGGGCAGCGACAGTGCGGGCCCTCGGCCCGGGGCTCCGCCTCGCGCGCTCGGAACGCGCCGTCAGGGGAACTGGCCTGAGAACCGGACCGAGGGCGGCGGCCCGCCGAGGGCGCCAGCGCTTTGCTTACAGGCTGGGGGCGGCGCCTTCCTGCTGCTGGGCACGCACCTGCCCGGGGCGCGGCCCCGCTGCTCTGCCCGGCGCAGGAGCAGCCAGGGACTCGGCTAGCGGGTCGCCAGGCGGAGGAAGTGCAGCTAGCACCGCTGTCCCCGCTGGCTTCCAGGCGCTGCTGGGGTCCTGCCAGCGGCGGTCCCCACGGCACCCGTCCGCCTCCTGGAGGGCGCGCCCCGCAGGCCGCCCGCCCACCCGGGGACCGCGTTCTCTCGCCACGTGGCCACTTGCCGCGGCGAATGCGCTTTAACCTCTGAGCCTCGACTTCGTCACCCAGAAAAGGAAGGCGATTCTCCTTTCCCAGGCCGCCCGGAAAGGTCCGCTGGGAGGGGCAAACAGAGTGATTCCTTTGGCAGCGAACTGCGAAGAACCAAGACTCCGGATTGCTGAAGCGAACTAAGTTAAACGCCCTCCGCGGGAGTTTCCGGAGTGTTCCCCATGGTCTGACCGAAGCGGGCCCGGCGTGCGGGTGCACCCCCCTCTGGCGCACCCCTCCTCTGGCGCGCTCCCCTGCCAGACTCCTGTGCGCGGCACCCCCGGTCTCCCAGCGCTTCTGGCTTTCGCGCGCTGTGAAAGCGCTCAGCGGCGCCGTGGGAGCAACACCGGCAGCGCGCCGGCCCTGCATCCCGCGGGGGGTCTTTGCCCCTCCGCCGTCCTCTCCCTCCCACCCCAGGTCGCCGAGTTGGCGCAAGCGAGCGGGTATCCGGGCCGGTCTCCGCAGAGCTGGCAGCATTTCGGGAAGCAGAGCGCGCGCGGACCGGCGAGCACCCGCCCTCCGGGGTCCGCGGCCCGCGGGCCCCCCTGCCGCCCCGCGCGGGCGGCGCCGCCGCCTCCAGGCCCGGCCACCCGCGCCAGCCCCGGCTCCCCCGCCTCCGCTCGCAGCCCCTCTCCGCCAGTGGCGGCGCTGCCGCCTTCCCGCAGGAGGGCCGGGAGGACGGAGTCGGCGGCGCCTCCGCCCCTCGCTCTCCAGGCTGGGGGCTCCTGCCGCCCGAGCAGGGGCGGTTCTGAGACGAGAAGAGCGAAGGACGGGAGCGCGGGCCTCCGCAGCGGCGCGCGAGCGCTGGGGGCACAGCAGCCCCCGCGTCCGGCGCTGGCCGCCCGGCCGGGAGGTGACCAAGGAGACCCGGGCGCCCGCCCACAGCCCTCGAAGGTGCAGGCTCCCGGCTCCCACTCTCTGGAGGAAGGGTGGAGATCCCCGCCTGCCGGCTGCGCGGCACAACTCCGGGGCTGGCGGTGCGCGGCTGCACCGAGTCCCGCTTCGCGCCGATTGCCCGGAGCGGCGGCGCCCGCGCACCCCGGAGCCCCAGGTCCTTGGCGCCCCATGGAGAGCGCGCCGGCCGCAGCTGCCTGAGTGCGGCGCCGCCGTCCAAACTGCGCGCTGGGGTCCCGCGGCCCGCCCCCCTGAGGGGCGCCCGGCGGCCGTGGGAGCGGGCACCATGAAGTCCGCGCTGTGCAGCCGCTTCTTCATCCTCCTGCCCTGGATCCTAATCGTCATCCTCATGCTCGACGTGGACACGCGCAGGCCCGCGCCCCCACTCACCCCGCGCCCCTACTTCTCGCCCTACGCGGTGGGCCGCGGGGGCGCCCGGATCCCGCCGCGCAGGAGCGGCCGCGCCCCCGGCCTCGGGCGCGGCTGGGAGAGGCGCAACGCGTCGCGGCGGCCGGAGCCGCCTCTGCCCACCATCTATGCCATCACGCCCACCTACAGCCGCCCGGTGCAGAAGGCCGAGCTCACCCGCCTGGCCAATACGTTCCGCCAGGTGGCGCAGCTGCACTGGATCCTGGTGGAGGACGCGGCGGCGCGCAGCGAGCTGGTGAGCCGGTTCCTGGCGCGGGCCGGGCTGCCCTGCACGCACCTGCACGTGCCCACGCCGCGGCGCTACAAGCGGCCCGGGCTGCCGCGCGCCACCGAGCAGCGCAACGCCGGCCTCGCGTGGCTGCGCCAGAGGCACCAGCGCCGGCGCCCGCAGCCCGGCGTGCTCTTCTTCGCCGACGACGACAACACCTACAGTCTGGAGCTCTTCCAGGAGGTAGTGGCCGGCCCAGCAGCGGGGCAGGGGCTCCGGGGCGGGAGGGCCTCGGGGCGCCGCGTTCTCGCTTGTCCGAGCTCGCTCGCCCCAGGACGGCCGTGCGCAGGCCGCGGGGCTGGACGGGGAGAGGCCCCCCGGGGTCCCGGGGGTGGGGGTTGCTGCCCAGAGGCTCTGGGCGCACCTGCACCGGGACTGCGCCGAGGGAGTGGCGCGGGCGCTGGCGCCGTGCGGGAGGGATGTCCCCAGACGGCGGGCCGCGGAAGGGGCCCGGGGGGCGGCCAGGGAGGGCGCCGGTCAGGGGTCGCGCACTCGTGGGGTTCTGGGCCCAGAACCATGTGGCAGAAGGTAGGGAGGGTGGGTGCAAACCAGCTCCCAGTGTCCCTCGCGCAGTCCGCCCGCGCGGAAGTGGTTCTCGTCGACAACACTGACGTCCACGGCCGCCCTCCCTGTACCGCTGACCGCACCCCGCAAAGGCCCTTGCTGCCTCCTCAGGAAGCCCCGTGGCGGATGAGTTGAGACTTGTGGGCCCGTGGTGGGCTTTCCGCAGCCCGAGGTGTCAGCCGGGCGTCCGGCCCCGTTTCTCACCCCCGTCTGAGTCTCCCGGCTAGCTGGCCATACGGCCCGACTCCGGGCCGCCGCATGGGCGCTGCCTGTGCCCGGAGCGCAGCCCGACCCCCGCGGCTCAGGTGGCCTCTTCCCTCCGAGGGTCACATGTGCCCGAGGCCAGCGGGCTCAGGGGTAGAACAGGTGTTATTTCTTGAGGCTGGTGTTTTGCAGTCTGTGTGCGTTCTGCTCATGAGACTGGGTACATGGTTTGATCGGTTTTCCTCTTCCTCCTACACAAATACAGCTGAAAATTCGTGCCCTCTCTGACATCCCTGGGGACTGTTGCCTTCCTCCATCACCCCAAATTCTTGGACGACCTGCCTCGAGACATCCCCCACACACACACATAAGTTAAGCTGGACGTTCTTTGAGTCTGGCGATCATCTAGTACCTTAGGCTTTTCTCCCAGTCTGTTTGGCTTTCTTTCTTAACCTTAGGACAGAGCTACTCTGACCCTTCCAGTTTAACTGCTGCCTATGTGACTTTTAAAAATCCATTTCTTGAGGGCGATTGTCCCCTTCCTTTCTATTCATCCTCTCCATGAATAAAAGGACCAGTAATTAATTGGTCCCCACTTTTCTTCATCCTTGGGTGATTTGGGGCTTTCTTTCCATGTTTCTTGAAGAAATAGGTTGACCCTATATGGTACGGTCTTTATTATAACCAACATTAGAGATATATCATCTGATTTTTTAAGTGGTTTTTATTTTTACCTACTCTTTCCCCAAAAAAGACCTTTTCATATTTCAGTATGCCGTAATTTAAAATCCCGAAGCCTTTTTCTTTTTTTTCTTCTACAACTTGGAAGTTGCCTTGCCTGTGAAAATGTGTGGTCTTGTGTAAGTAAAGTCACACGCACGTCACTATTGATTAACTTCTTAGGGGGATGGGCTGTGAAGGGGGAGTGATTTTCAGTTTATCCCCAGCTTCCAGCCCAGTGCTGTGAGGCGGTAGATGAGTGGCAGAGCTGGCAGGAAGGCTGTGAAATGGCCAGAACAGGCTTTCTTGCTTCCCAAACTGAAAGTAAGGCTTGTGAGTGGTGGGTATTAAGCAGCAGGAGAATAATCCAGCAGGTGTTTTTCATTGGTTTATAGAGAAAAAAAGAGAAGATAAAGAGGAGAGGGTGAGGATTAAAAAGTTGTAATGGCCAAGAGGAAACTATAAAGGGAAAAAACACGCAAACCCTTCCAGCAGCTAAAATTTTGTATTGTTGGAAATAATGAAATAATGAAAATGAACTTAAATTAAGAGCATATGCAATTCTTTTTGTGGAGAGGTGCCAAGTATACAAAATAAAAAACAGCAGGAATTCTTCAAAAGCATAATATGCATCACACACTTAGAATTTAAATTCTGTGGCTGCTAGAGGATACTTCCAGACAAGAATTTTATGACTAGTCCTTTTCTCCACCACCATCCCTTCTCTCCTCCCGTGCAATGTTTTTGGACAGTAGACATCTATTTACCATGCATGCATTGTTTTCCTTTTTATAACATTCTTTTTCTTGCATGGCAAACAGTATTGAACTCTGTGAAGTCAGATGGGTGGAATTTAAGCATCCTTAATCTTGTGCATGAATGGGACGTTCTGCCTTACCAGCGGTTCTAGGATTAATGATTCCATGTGGATTACAGTCTAGGCATTGTTCTCTTGGGAAAAAGGTAGGACCAGATAAAACAGCTACAACCTGCAGCTCCTCAAGGAAAAGGAAGATGCTGATCAAGGATGCTGTAGGCTGAGGCTTATATCTCAGCCTTTCATATTGTGCACACACGCAAATTAGTTCTTCAGTAATTCACAGCACTTAGGATAGAATGTCCCAGGTAGGGCTTCATCTTTTATTCATAGTGCTTCTAATTTCCATGGCTGATGTTAGCATAGATAAGATAAAAGGAGGAAAATGAACCAGGTACAAATTAGCTCACTAAGCATTGGCTGCAAATGAAGGAAGTAAAAGATGAAAGGTCTCCAAATTAAATTAAAGGTGCAACAGGCAGTCTGTGCTCAGTTCTTCCTGGTGACTGGAATGGTGCTTTCTTCTCCCAGACAGCAAAATAATTTTCAGTCTCCCCTTTCAACTGAGGTGTGCTGCCAGGAGAGAAATACTCGCTTTGAACAATCCTACGTGAACAGCCAGACCCATTAGCAAATGAAGTCAGTGTGAGTTGACCCTCAGAAACGGGGCTGTCTGCAGGAGGGAGTGATAGGAGCTTTGCAGATTTCCAGTATCTCAGCGACTGCTCCCGCTCTTCCCAGTGGCGTTGGGGTTTGCCCTGTGAGTCGCCACAGGTAATCCTGCCTGCAGTGCACCCCATGGATCTGGCTTTACGGGAAAGCTTATTTTCAAAGGATTTAAACTGCTTTAATAAAAGCCGCGGCCACAAATAAGTGTGACTGTACATCTAATCATATTTTCAGTAACACTAGTGACCAGATTTCTGCTTTTTACTGGAAAACCTTGTGAGTGTTCCTGAGTTAAAGCTGGTGCTTTTCAGGTGAAGTTGCTTTCATCTCTGGAAATCAATTGGACTGAAAGGTTTAAAAAATAGCATTTGTCAAGCAAGAAAAAAAATCTTAAATATTTAACTTTAATGAGGTAAAACTGGAAGACAGGCCGACTAAGACACTCATGGGGTTTGTGAAAGGACTCAGTTAACAAGACAGTGTCTGTCTTGAAGATGTTGCTGGCAAGCAGTGAACTGAAGAGGCCCTTGGGATTTCTGGCTGGGTGCTGTTAAGCAATTTGTGTACTAGGCAGGTGGGAGAGTTGTGGTGGGCCTCCTTTCTGCTTTTCTGAACCACCAATGTGCTCCTCCCTTAACATGCAGTTTATTAGGGCCATACTCCAAAGGATATTCAAATTTACAGTGTTTGGCACTCTCCCCACCCATAGTAAATTCTGTGTTTTCTTTGGAGGAGACAGGAGATCTATCTGCCTTTCCTTTTATCCTTGATATAGTTTCTTTAGGGTAATTATCTTTTCAAAGTGAAGAAACCTGGAAGATTCTCTTAGGATTAGCATAAGAAGAGTATTTTACCTAAAATGTGCCCCTTGCATTTTATTTCTCCATATCAAAAAGCCTATTATTAACCACGCCATTGGTCTGATAAAATGTGAGAATTTTTGTAAAAATGTGTATATATAACTACAGCCAGTTTTCTTAGGCTTTCAGTGTTGAATCTGTAGATTTTCTTTATTCTCCCTGGGTGGTTAGCACTGAGTTATGGCTAATTTTTGGCAGACTTTTCTTTGGAGAACAGCGGTTTTCATTAGGATTTTGATATTTTAATGGACTAAGAATAACAACTTGGGTTTAAAAGACATTCTCCCTTCCGCCTCTTCCTGCTGCGTTTTCCTTCATTCTTTGTCCCCCAGCCTACTTCTTACTGTTTATTATTTCTCATGAAAAGACATGAAGACATGTCTGGATTATTGTTTGGTGTGGCATGTGTGTCCTTTAAGCATTTAGGCTGTTGTCTGCTGCTTCCTGGAAACTGGTGGGCGCCTCCATTTCCCTCTGTCCCGCTTGCCTCTACAATTACAAGCTGGTCAAGTTTTTCTTGTGTGAATAGAAACGGAATAGTAGTTGCTTTTGAGGCATGCAGCAAAAGCGAAATAGACAAACCGAAGTCAGTTGTCTTATTAACCATTCCAGGTGGTATCCAAGCACCTTTTTTGTGTATAGAATTCAAGAATGTTCAGACATGCCTAGTCAAACCCTTTGGACTCTCATGGAATATTTGCTCAGTGTGTATAAGTTAAGATAACCCATCATTGTATGTTTGATTTGCAGTGATATTAAGCATGAAATTTTAAGTTTTGCATGGTTCTCAAATCTCTCCCCCCAAAACGTAAATGAAATGGTTACACCAGCCCATAGATAGGTATGTAGGTGAGTCGGTAAGTAAGGACGTAGGCTTGGATTTCCAGTTCACAGAAATAAGATAATTTACTGTTCATGCTGGATGATTTTTGTGCACAATTTAAAATAAATGTTAAAATACCCTTTGCTGTGGATACAAGCAAAATATAGTTGACATCCGCTGAGCACTTACTATGGGCCAGGAGCCCCCGTAAGGTTTTACCTGTATGAACTTACCTGCTCCTCATAGCAGCCCATGAAGTAGGTGCCAGTTCTGCCCGCATTTTTCTTGTCCATCCTAATGCTGATGTTTAGGCACGAGCAGAACACTTCGGTGAGTAGAGAGATTTTTTTAAAGTGCAGCCTGAATATAATACAGTTGTGCACTCGGATTGGCATTAGTGTCTGCGTCTCATGGTTGAGCAGATGTGCCAGGAAGTGACTTGAAAAGGTCACACAGCTGTTCAGAGACAGGATGTTGAGCCCAGGTGGCCCGGTCCTAGAGCCTGCACTCTCCACCTGTCCTGAGG